AAAAATTGAAAAATTAAAAATAAAAGATCATCCTCAATTTTTTATTAAAAACTAAAACCATGCACACCCATTGGACGTTTTATATGGCATGACTCTATAGAGTACGTTTAGGTGAGTTCAGACACCCTATGCATTATTATAGCACATGATGTCACAAAATCTTAACCACCTCCCCCCTAAACGTGTGACGTACTTTCCCCTCTTTGATAAATCGTTAGTTAAAATTTGGTTTAGGTAAAATTTTATCTTTGTCAAAATAGCTACCTATAAATGCAAATTAAAAAAGTGTTTACCGATATTATAAATGTATGTAAATCCTAGATAACAATATTAAATGTTTTTATTTATTTATGATATGATTTTACATATTCGCATATTTAAATAATAAATATTAATTTTAATGTTATTAGCAGCGTAAAAATCAGTGATAAGAAACAACAATTTACCTATTACATATTTTACATATTTATCGGTATTTGTAAATTTAACTCCATAACTTGGTACGAGGGTTGCCTTTTATATTTCGGGAATGGCCGAACCTGCTGATGCTATCGGACAACAGATGTCTGTATCGTTAAGTTCTACCTTTTAGACGGTGTTCTTACTTAAAACGTTTTGACGTGGGAGCGCAATTAGTATTATTAACAGTCACTTGAAAAATTAATGTCGGCCAAAAAAATGGAATTGACCCGTGAACATTTTCGTGCTATGATTTTTACAACTTTAACGTGGATTATCCCAACAATAATGCATCAATGAACTTAATTTGACTTTTGGCGACAAAGTGCCATAAAAAACAAGTGAATATCGGTGGTGTTCCGAATTTAATCATGGCCATGGTTCGCTCACCGACGAATTTCGTGAAGGTCATCCAAAATCACTCGTTCTTTCAAAAAACATTGATGCTCTGCGTGAACTGGTAATGCAAGATCGTCATGTGACATATCGTGAGATTGGGTCATCCTTGGGCATGAGTGGGACCAGCATACATTCAATATTAAATGAACATTTGGCCGTCAGAAAAAATTGTTACCGTTGGATCCCACATAATTTGAAAATCGATCAAAAAAATGCTCGGGTCTAGTGGTCAAAAGAAATGCTTAAAAAATACGATGGCGGAGCTTCAAAGCATGTTCATGACATTGTAACAGGTGACGAATCATGAATCTACGTGTATGAACCTAAAAGTAAACAGCAGTCAACTGTGTGGGTCTTTAGAAGCGGTTGATGCGTTGAAAATGTATGTTTTGGAGGTGCCTTAATCGGAGTGAAAAAAATGCTTCGAAAATTGGTTCAAGTGCATGCAAAAGTGTGTTGATCTTCATGGAGAATATTTTGAAAAACAATAAAGCCATGTACGATGATTAATTGTTGTTTGTTTTCTCTATTCCCGAAATATAAAAGGCAACCCTCGTATTAAAAAAATAAGAAAATAGTTATTTGTTTTACAAACTTGTGTTGAAGGCCGAGTCTGCATTAACACGAGCTTGAAGAAAGCTTTTCTCTCAAGTGAAATAGAATGTTTTTTCTACGACCCTTTTGTTTTTTATTATTTTCAAATACAAAACAAAATAACCTAAAAACGTGTTTGACAGCTGTAGGGTTTTAAAATTTCCGGAAAAATTGAGCCGGCGGAGAAAAACCGGATTTTTTTTCGGAAAAAAAACGGAAAAAAACGGGAAATTTTCAAAAAAATTGCTTTTTTAATTTTTAAAATTTTATTCAGAGGATAATACAAAAAACTGCAAAAGTCAATTGTTTTGAAAATTTCCAAATTTCCAAGTATCCGTACACTGATATCAAGAAAATTTCCGACGCTAATTATAAAAATTAAAACTTTTTTTTAACACTTATCATATAAATCATTCATTATTTTATAGTTAGATATTTTTAATGGACTTCTTTTTGCAATAAAAAAAACCCAACATACACTATTGGTGGATTTATGCAGCACAAATTAACATTAAGATTAACTTTAACATTAACATTAAGATTAAGATTAATTTAACATTAATAGGAGGGTATTTATGCAGCAAAATTAGTAGCAAATTAAGCATGCGTATAAGCTAAAGTAATTTTGACATCTGACATTTTTGGTTTGTTTGAATTTTGTTTTAATCCCGTTTTAGCATCTGTTAAGTAAAATAAATAAAAACTATAAACTCCACGTCAAACAATAAACCAAAGAACACAATCATTGAATAAAAAATCAATCATTCAGCAGTAAGTTTCATTTATTTTCGGGTATGTTGGCATTACTGAAACGGTTTATTTAAAAATTGCGCCGCAAACCTGCGCAGGAGGAATAAAAATTAACATTATCATTAAGGTAGTTGTCGTGATATAAGCATACCATCAGAAAATTTTGAATTTTTGTATACTTATTAAGTCTATAACCCGAGATAAATTCAATTAAAAATTGGATAATTAACATGGATTGTATAGGCTTTCTGTAGTTCTGTACCAGTTTCTTAGTTATACAAAAAAAACTAACTGTCAGAAGCTTTCAAAAAACTAACATTGTTTTAATGTATTTTTGCTGAGTTTAAAAAAAATAATTAAAAATTTTTGACCGTCCAATTGTTTATAAATAACCGTTTAAAGTTCAACAATTTGTAAAAAGTATACATCACTAGTGTCAGATAAAAACAACTTGGCAAGCCTGTACGCGAGTATAGATATAATTTCCGCAGTAAATTCAAACGTCTGATTCAGTCTCCAATATATCTATTGGTTGAGCATAAGCGACGTTGCCGGATTAAAACTTATGAAAATATTTGAAAGTATTACGTAAAAATAACGTCTCCAGGGTACAGTCTTGCGAACAAATTATGAATCACTTAGCTACCAGCTCGTATACTTTTACGGTGCGTATAATCTAAAAATTTTTGACAATATTGTACCACGACAACTACCTTAAGAAGATAAAAGTTGGCCATCTCTTAATGTTAACTTAATGCTAAAGTTAATGTTAATGTGTTGCATAAAAGCTTCCAATCGATTACGTTCATTTAACTTCTTAATGTTAATGTTAATCTTAATCTTAATGTTAACTTAATGTTAATTTGTGCTGCATAAATCCAGCATATATTTCACGTTTAAGTTTATTTTCTTAAATTTAATTTAATGTTTACTTTTATTTTTTTTGTAATAAAGGATTTTTTTATATAAAATAATATTAACTTGTTGATTGCCACTTTTTATCAAATGTGTATATTTCCAACAAAAAAATTTAATTTTTTCCAAAAAAGCCAATTTTTTCAAGGTCTGGGAAAAAAAGAAAAAAACAGGGCTTTCCCCAATTTTTCCGGTTTTTTCGACACTTTAAAACCCTAGACAGATGTTAAATTTACTTTCATCTTATTCTTTTAATTTTTAAGGTAGGTATAAGTTACTTAAAATCAATAAACTTACCTTCTTAAATAAAGGCACTAAAAATTAGTATTTATTATACAAACACAATTTTTAAATGATATTTATACATAGCAGATTATCGATTGTTTTATATTTAGTGGGGTGCAATTAAACAGTATTTTGTTATAAAAACATAAATAATATAATAAATATACTGTTCCAGACCGAGCCAGTCACTTTTCAAACAGTTTCTGAAATATCTGTCTATATATATATCTATATCTAAATTTGAATGCAAGGGAAGTGACGAGTATACCAGGGTACTAATTAAATACATAATTTATTGGAAAATGTAAGATTTATTGCAACTTTGAGCATATTATACATTAAATATCTTAAAATCAAATAATACCACACATCAGTGGCGGCTGGTGGATTTTGGGTACACCGATATCTCAATTATTAGATATGGGACCCACACCAAATTTATATGAGTTTATAATGACATTAAATAAACAAGTTCTGTCCAAGCAGAATTTAAATTAAAGTTTGCGAAACATCGAACATGGAACTGACGACACGGTACTGATGAATGGGATACAAATTTGAGATTATAATTTGGAATTAAGTATTTTACTGATATTTTTTATTAGTGGATGCTACTTATCAACAAATCACATATAGCCTTATATAAATTACAATGAAATATATATACGTAAGAAAATAACTGCTCACCACAGTACTGAAATTTTGACTGGAACTATACGTGCATTCACCACAACTTCGCCGCTTGCATTGTTTTCAAGATTACTGTCGTGCAAAGGGCGGGCTCTGTAGGTAATTTTTTACCAACACTTGAGTTAAAACAAGGAATTGACGTTTAAACTTCAGTATTTTGCAGGAATTTTGAATTTTAACATTGAACACAGAACTGACGGCTAAAATTAAGTACAAAGATTATCAATTTTTTAAAAATTTCTATTATTCGAATCTATGATAAAATATGAAAAATACATTATTTAATGTTTTATAGTTTGTAGTGAAATTGAAAAATTTAAGATAAATTGAATATTTTTTAAAATAGAACCACTCAGATATTTTATTCAGGAGTTGTGACACGCCAAGGTACTGATGTTTTGAATATTTATTATGTTTTTATACAAACGTGCTTTTGAAAAAATACATTAAAATTGAGTGGACAAGTTAAAAAAACCTGGATCTTTTGTAATATACTAAAATAATTACAAAAAATATTAAAATACCTACTCTATTGACTGATGACATCAAGCTGTCGAACTTTTGTAGAATACAAATTTTAATGAAATTACGCAAATTCAAATAAATTGAGCTCTTGTACGTCTGAATGTCAAACGATTCTGTCAATTTCTTTTCACACGGACCTGTAACTTTTTACACAAAAATGTCACTTTACATTCGAGTTTTGCCTTGCCAATGAAAATATTCATTTTCTAAGCAACGATGCTATTACGAAATGTGAAATTTAATAATTTTGTTAATCGGTTGTAAGAAAATGTATATTAATTATTTGTGATATTTTATGTTCTTTTGTACTTTTTAACGCATTATAAAATCGTTAAATATTTACTGTTGCATAATATTCATTTACAATAATTTTTTTGTTACAGACAACCAACTAATGCTTCTAACGCAATGATGCCAACATTATGGGTTTCACGCTTCGGTTCATTCTAGGTATGATTTAAAACATATTTTTTTATTTGTACAACGCCAACCAATCAAAATCCCATTAACTTTCATAGTTGCCATAGCATAAATGTCAAAAACCCAGTAATATTTGCACAAAACTTGACTGCGCTTTTATAGACGAGTTGTAAGTTGCGCACTGTTGCCAATATTACCTTATCTGCCAAGCTTATCATAAGTCAGTGCTTTGTTTTGTTTTTTACAATAAAGTCATTACTTTCATTAATTTGCAACGTTACGCTAAAAGTAATAATAATAGCACTAGCATTTCTAGTCTGTTAATTTCTAACTGTTTTACTTTATCTTTATCACCATTATTTGAATTTACCGTTTTGTAAAATAATTGTCACCAAGTTAACTAGGTATAACGGCCAATTAGGTAAAATTTATTTATGGCCAAAACTAAAATTTTAAACCAGGAATTATTACTTTTTAAATGCCATTTAATTTATACAATTATAATAATACAATTTTAAAAATCTATCATGGATTCATTTTTTTTTATTTGGATTAAATGTAAAGGATTTTATTGGTCTAATTAAAAAAGATTACATTTGGAAATAATTATGAATTGTCAAATTTTTAAGCTGTTTTTAAAGTAAAAAAAGTTTTAAAAAAATTGCTTGGTTTCCTTGTAAAAAATTATTAAAGTTGCTAAGACTCCATGACATGCCATGTTATATATATAAGATATGCGTTAATTAAATACTTACATCTCCTCTTGTCCAACCAAAATTATCAATCTGTCATTCTCTTCTATAGAAGATGCGGGAACACTGGAATACGAACACCTGGTTATATAGCGATATTTGGTTTGATTTATTTGGTGACTACCATAATTTCGTTTCACTCTACCTTCTACACTCAGACAATTTTTTTAAATATAACAAAAAAAGTAGTTTGTCTTAATAAAGTAAAGATCCCTATTCGTCCAACAATTGTTTTGTTACGGCAAAAAGATCATTTTTATAAAAATTATTTATCTACGAAAGCGGCTTTCAGTAATATCATTTGCATTAATTATAAAGTAAATTTACGTTATGTTTATATAAATAACACTCTTCCAGATGCAGAAACGCATTGATAAATATAGTTATTATTATTTGTCCAAAAAAACAGTTCTATGTCATTTACATAAACGTTTTATGGTATTAATGAAACCCTAATGGCATTATTCATAGAAACTTTGTAAATTTTGCAAATCCCTTTTCGTTTAAAATAAAACTTTTTTTTATAATATTAATAAAATTAATGTAAATTTAACAACAAATTAATTGTTAATTCAATAAAATATTTTCATTGCAACAATGGTCACATTTTCAACCTACTGTTGGGTATTGGGTAGTCTTTTTAAAATAATTGCAAGGCATTAAAACATATTATTTATTATAACAAAAAATTAACTCATATTATATGATGTACAAAATAAAAAACATATGAACTCACATTTTAAACAACAAGTCTGCTTCGTTTATAGAATAAAAAATCGACCTGTAGTTAACCAAGGATCATCATTCCAAAGGATTGCGCATAATATAGAAATTGTAACGCGTGTATTTCTAAGAGTTTTGCACTGATGCGATATATACAATTTTAAAGTGTAATAAATCCCATTTCTTTCTTTAAAACACTGATTTTCCTGTAATATAAACTCAATAGAAACGCTCAATTGACAGGTTTAGACCAACAAATTATAAATGTTAATTTTATCGAGCGCGAAAAGATTTTTCATAAAAGGGTTAAAGTCACCCGCGGGGTGCAAAGTCACCCGTGCAAGCTGTCATATTTTTTTGTTAAATAATTATTATTTATTGTAGCCTTAAACAAAAGTAGTCAATTTTCTGCATGTGGTTTCTTCATACTAAAATACTACTTGATTCTCGTAGCAAAAGTAAAAGTTTCTCAATTGAAGCGTTAAAAGCAAAATAAACAAAAAACGAGGAAGTGGGGCATCATTTTTGCTTACCGTTCGACTGTAGGTCAAAATAAAAAACATGATTTCTTCGCACAACTATTTTATATGAGTGCCAATAAATTAGGTTTTCTTTTTGGATACGGTCTTCAAACTAAGTGACTTTACTAACGGTATAGGCATTTTTTGCGAGCAAACGCTAGTTTCGTTAGATTTGTTTTTAATCTGAATTCGTGTACTTCTCATAATACCAGTAGATGCGCTATGATAATTGGGCTGTTAAAAACAATCGTTACAAAACAATAGTATATTAGGTAACAGGTTTTATAAATGCAATTTTAGAGTTTTATTTATCAGGCACGAGCGAAGCTTGCAAGCAAGTGTTTAATAAAAACGAGTGTCTAGAGAAGTTGCATACTAAACTTTATTCACGACATTTGACATCTGTCAAATGTCAACGGATTTAACCTCACTTTCCCCAATTTATAATAAAGCTAACTTCAGCCCGTGACTAAAAACCTGTTGCTAACTTCAGCCCGTGACTAAAGCTCCATAAAGTCACACATTGTCAATGTGTATTTAAAACGTCACTTGGTGGTGTCATTAAATAAAATATCGTCGCGTGAGTTCCACAAGGTTTTATTGTTTTAAGTAGGTGCATTTTGTTTAATTTCACAGTAGAGCAATTTTTATGATTTGCATTAAATTAAATATTAGGGACTTTGATTTTTATTGCACTAAAGTTAGCTTTAAGTTAGTTGACAGTTCTTGTAAAATAATACTAAATGTGAAAATTATTTTATTACCGCAATACAAAAATACAAAAGTATTACCTAAATAGTTTCTCAACGCCAATATTTGAAAAGTTTATATGAACATTGTACTGACCTTTTAATTTCGCCGGCAGAAAACTATAACTTAAATTCGGGCACGGACTCCACTGTAAAGTTCTCATAAAACATTTTCTTTACTTTCACTGTGATAAACTGTCAATTTTCAAGAAATACATTTCGATTTATAACGTTTATAATCTGTGTTTACAAAATTTAAAAATTTGACATTTAATAATAATAATAATAATCTTTATTTCCCAACAGATTAACAATCCAATTACAGGAAAATTTACAAATAAAAATTAATATAATAGTAATATAAATATTCTAATGTAAATTTAGGAATCCAAACTTAATTACTAAAGGTTCTTATTAACAAAATATAAACTCCAATAGCAACAAAAAAAAACAATTATTCACTAAATTATTAAATTAAATGTTCTTTGACGCAGTTAATAATAAAATTAATACTGTCAAAATTAATATCACATTTTTCAGACACTTTATTAAAATTATCACAAATAATATATAGTGGGGATCTAAGCATAATGTTTGTTTTGCATGGTGGTAAATAAAATGTTTTATGCATCCTTGCTGACAGTCTTGGAATTAAAAAGTTTAACATGGATAAAAGACACATGCAATCAATCCTATTCTGAACCAGCATGCTCACAAACCTTATGGAGCAGATTACCCTCCTACTCTCCAGACTGATAAAACCAAACATATCCAGTAAAACATCATTATTAAATCCCCTCTCAGGATAAATTCCTTGAGTTTTAAAGTAAATAAATTTTAAGAATTTTCGCTGGACATTTTCAATTTTTATCTTGTATGTGTTGTACAAAGGGTACCAAACAAGTGAGCCGTATTCAAGTTTTGAAACAACAGACCTATAGAGTGTTTTAAGTGCAAGACAATTACTAAAACCACTGCAGTTGCGAATTATAAATCCTGACATTCGATATGCAGAGCTACAAATATTCTTAATATGAATATCAAACAAAAACTTTTGATCAAAATGGATACCCAAGTCCTTAACCTCTATTTTTCTTTTAATGTTCAAATTTCGAAGGGTATAGTCAAACTCTATTATCTCCTTTTTCCGGCTAAAACTTATAATCTGGCATTTGTCAACATTTAAATACAAAAAATTCTGCTGACACCAGGTATCCAATTTTACCAATTGCTCCTGAATAAAGTTACAATCTTCCTGGGTTGCTATAGAGCTAAACAATTTGAGATCATCGGCAAACATAAGTTTTTCACAATCAATGTTGTCCACAATATCATTTACAAACAGGAGAAAAAGTAATGGACCCAAATTTGATCCCTGAGGAACTCCGGAAGTAGCAAAAAACCTCGTTGACAAATATCCATTGTAACTAACATATTGTTCTCTACCTTTTAAATATGACTTAAAAAAACAAAAGTCCAAATGTCCTTAGCTTACTCAATACAACTCGATGGTCAATTCTGTCAAAAGCCTTCGCGAAATCAGTATACACGACATCAACCTGCCCTTGATTGTCAAGAATATTACATATATATTGTGAAAAACAGGTTAAATTTGTAATTGTAGAACGCGAACTTACAAATCCATGTTGATACGGAGTTATAAGATTGCATACATGGGAGTAGACATGCATATAAACTGACATCTCAAAAACCTTCGAAAAATTATTTAAAATTGCAATTGGCCTATAGTTCCGAATTTGGCTTGGGTCTCCATTTTTTAGAACCGGACATATCCTAGCAGTTTTCCAAATGTCTGGGAAAGTTGAGCTATTCAAAGATAGGTTAAACAATTTTAGTAGTGGTTTAAGAAATATGTGTTTACAGTCTTTTACTAGGTAACTAGGTATTTGATCTAGACCTGAAGTTTTTTTATTTGCTAATTTATTAATTGATTTCAATATGTCATTTTCATTAATTATAATTTTATTTAAATGGGAAGCATTATCATTAAAAGTTAAATCTATATAATCATTTGTTGGCTCTGTATACACACTACTAAAATAGGTTTTGAATGCTTCGACAATTTGTTCAGGAACATTAAATTGTGCGTCGCCATTGCACATAACCTTTATTTCAATGGTATACCAATGTGGGTGTTCTTTGTTTGATGTTTTATATGTAGGGACGTTTTTATCAAGAAATGAATATATTTTTGAATAAAATTTATCACATGCTGCATTAATTTCTGTTTCGTTATTTCAAAAATTCCAGTCTGTCTGTAAGAA